TCCTTACAACAAAGGTTCACTGGGGACTCTTAACTTTTTTGGGTTGCCTCCATTTGTTCTTCTTTTTGTTTATATTCTTCCAACAGAGTGCAAATCTGCTCCCAGATCCTCTCTAATTCCTCCTGCTTTTTACCTAAGAAAGATTGTCCTACCTCTGTTTCATACCCACCAACCTCAACCTCAACTCCCCCACCTCCAACTGTTCCCTCCAGTTGTGATGTCGGGGTACCTGCTTCAGGCACAAAACTCAGGTTAGTATCATAAACAGAATGGACAAGCATAGCTGACCTGGCAGGAGGTGAATGATCAACGATTTGGATTGGGGTTTCAGTATTAGAATTCAGAACCAAGACCCTTCCTTCTGTTTAATCCAGCCGTGGAAGTACACTTGATTCAACCAAAACTTTGTCAACCACTACAACCGAAGATACATTTGAAGGCTTTTCCTTGTGTCCCCTTGTAAAATTGCATAGATGGTTCCTGCTCCTCTAAACTAGAAATCTTTTAGTGTTGAGTTTCCGAATAGGACTTGTTTGCCAAATGAGTTGTACCCTGACCATCCTCTATAGCTGCTACCTAATCCACCATACCCTAGTCTGACACATCAACTAGAAGAGATCTTGACTGTTCACCACCATTGTCATTCGAAATTTTTCCTTCCTCACCTTTCCAATGGACCACCAAAACAAGAACTTCCTCTACAAACAAAATAGCGGTATTTAGACTTTCATCCTCCAAGAGTTCTTTTGAAGCTTGTAGATCAATGCTTCCAAGACTAATAGTGTCTTCCATATCCAAATCTGAAAGGCCATGGGCTTCTGTTGAAAGCTCCACCTCAAGGTTCTCAATCCCACTACACCGTACAAACCTGGGGTTGCATCGATCTGGCGAAAGTCGTGAGAGCTTCTTTTAGGATATCCAATGTAGAGAACTAGCGGTCTGGTTTGGTTTCTTTGAAAAGATGGAGGAGCTTGAAGGCAACGATGTTTGACGAGAAATTTCATCTAACTTAGGGCATTCCTTGGTCATGTGCAAATTAAACAAAGAGTGTGCCTTCTTATTTCATGGGTCAGCTTCATTTGTTAGTTGCAACCTATTTTGCTACTCTTGAAGGACTTCGAGAGGAGCTTGATTATCATCTATGACTAGAAAAACTCCAAGGCCAAGGAGATGTATCATAAATAGATTGAAGAGAGGAGGGTGTTGAAGTGCCTTGTTTGCCTTGAGAGGATTGCAAATAGTTCCTAGTTTATCATCTCTGAAAAAGGAGATATTCAGTTTGGGAAAAACTTCTCACTCAAATCCGCTTTGCATGTTCCTAATTTTACTACCAACCTACTTTTTGTCTCTAGAGTCACCAAAATTTTGGATTCTATTGTGACTTTCTTCCTACTCATTGAACTAGATGATGAAACAGATTTCTATCCAAAAAAAAAAAAAAGATGATGAAACAGATGATTGGGACTAATCATGAAGCTAGGGATCTCTACTACTTTTATGAAGATATTAATTCTGCTCTTCAAGCATTGAATAGTTGTAGCAATGGTTGCAAGGAGTCTAGTACTATAGTTTATCTCTAGAATGCCAAATTGGGTCATTTGTTTTTTTCAATGTTAAGGGTCTTGTTACCATATTTGTTTGAAAAGCTGTTTGTTGAGAGTCTTTTTTACAATGTGTGTCAGTTATCTAAGCATTGTAAGACAAACTATCCAAGCTTTAGTAATGAAGTCACATCTCCTTTTGATTTAGTTCATTCTAATGTGTGAGCCCTTCACCCATTATCTCTATGGATGGCTATCATTACTTTATTAGCTTTATTGAACATTTTACAGGGTGTACTTGGATTTATTTGATGAAAGAACGAGATGAAGTACCTAAAATCACTATGGTCTTCTGCAAGATGATTGAGACTCGGTTAAAGAAGATTAAACAATTTTGTTTAAACGATGCAGTTGATTTTTTTATTAGCAACACAGAAATGATTTTATTAATAAATTAAAGAAGAAAAAAGGGCATAATAAGAAGCTGTGTAAGTGAAAACCCTTTACAATAGTAAACCCCCACTCTATTACAATTGAATCCAATACAATTGTTGCTTATGAACTCCTTGCTTACCTAAACCATCCACCAAGCCATTAGCTGACCTTCTTACCCAACTTACAATAATATTCATATTTCGTGACAGCCGTTTGAATCACCCCTTCTCCTTTCTTCAATCACCCAATTACTATCTTCGAATCCCCTTCAATAACCAACCTCGTAAATCCTAGTTCTTTAGCATTTTTTATCGATGAAGAAGAATTTATTTATTAATTCAAAAGATAAAATCAATACAAGCATCCCTATGGGAGGCATGAGCTGTGTCCTTTCCAATAATAGAAATTAAAAAACAAAGCAAGTTACAACTAAGCCCAAATCAAATGCTCCCTATTTACCCCTTACTTTGATAAACAATTAGACAAAGCATTTGCCACCCTTCCCACCCATTGTATGCTTAAATTCATATTTTGTATAAGCAACTTGAATCTCTTGATTTCATTCCTATAGCACCAAGAACAGATTCGGAGTCCTTCAACCACCCCACCACTACTTTTTGAGTCCCCTTCTATTAGTAGGGACTCACACCAAGCTGATTTTCAATCTACACTCCTTAAACAACTGTTAGTAATTCAGATCTTAAAGAGTCCCCAACTCCCAACGGACCCAAGAAAAAATAAAATAAAATATGCCTAACCTCATTTCTGAAGACCCCGCCTATTACTAATGGGCTTAGATTACCATGACTATTTCCATCAAAGTTTAGCTTTATATAGCCTTCAAGGGAAGGTATCCAAGTCGCCGGTAGTCTATTCCTTTTGGAAGAGCAACTTGACATAGATGACCAACTCCTCCACAAATCATCAAAGGAAAAATGATTGAATAGTTCCAAAGTTTTTAACCAATAAAATGCCATATTCAGCACAATCCTTTCTCTCTTGTAGGCTTCTCTCCTCTTGAAAGATTCTTGCATTCCTTTCTTCCCATATGGTCAACAACAAAGCTGCTCTAGCACACCTCCATATAAACCTTCCTCTTTTTTTTAGGCCAAGCAAAGGTAAAAGAATCAAATAGCATGCTAACCTCTATTGGCATATTCCACCTGCACCCAAACAAATAGAAAAGCCAAATCCATAATTCTATAGCAAGGTTCAAAATATTGATATGCCCATATGTATCGGCAGGGGCGTTCGGTACTTAAAATAACATGCTTTTATGTTTTTTTAGTTTTCTTTTCAAAACTTGGTTTTTGGGCCTATTTTTAACTATATTCCCAAAACACCTGTAAATAGGCATATCGGGTATCTGGTGTATCGTATCGAAATTTTGAATCTTGTTCTATAGTGACAACACAAGAAATAAGTAAGTGGCAGCAATCCTCACTATTAGACCTACAAAGAATACACCAATTAGGTAAGATACACGAAAGATCTTCACTTTTGTAAGTTATTGAAAGTGTTTACTTTCCCATAGAACACTTCCGAGAAAAAATCACTAACTTCCGAGCAAACACTTCCTCTTTTCCTGCACACACTCATTTGCCACCATAATCTGATCCACTATTTGCCTCCCATCCACAAAGGCTCCTTGATATTGAGAAATCACTAAAGGTAGGCAAGATTTCAACCTCCCAGCTATGACTTTGGCAATGATTTTATATAAGCTTCCTATGAGACTGACGAGACCAAAGTCCTTGGGTTTTTTGCTTCTTTTCTTTTAGGAATCAAAGCAATGAAGGTTGCATTTGCTCCAGGTGAGATTTCTCCTTTTTCAAAAAATTCCTCAAAGATCTCCAGCAAATCATCTTTTATGATTGAAACCATCCAGGCTTGAGGCTTTTGATCTTTCCATTGAAAACACCGCTTCATAGATCTTTCTAGACTAAAACACCACTTCATGGATCTCTTCAAACTTTCCCCATTTCTCCTTCCTAAGGTGGCAAAGATTGCTTTAAAATGGTCCACAAAAATCTTCACAATTTCCTCCTCCCTTCTAAAAGTCCGCTCTGCAACCTCAATATTGGAGATTAAGTTTTTTCTATTTCTTCCGTTTGCCAGCAAGTGGAAGAATATTGTGTTGCCATCCCCTTCTAAGAGCCACTTACATCTTGATTTTTGTCTCCAAGAAATTTCTTCTTTTCTAAGGATCTCCTACAGTTCCACCTTTAGTCTCCACCTTTCTGATCTTTCCTCCGCCAACATTCTCTCTGAGACTCATTTAGACCAATCTCTTCAGTCCTCTTTGTGATTCTTCTCTTTGAATCCTCTAATCTTCCAAATTCTTGCTTGTTCCACTCTTTTATTCTTTGAGAAACTTTAATTTCCTGGTTAAGTTGAGCCCCTTGTTCTCCAAACTATAAAGCTAGTTTTCATGAAAATTAACATAAAGCCCACACATGTGCAGGAGAAGATGAGGACTTTAAACCAATGTTCTAAAATGCTGAAGCGTGATGCAAGGCATTCCACTACTCGGAGACATGATGCCAGTTTAGAGTGCAAGGAGATGAAAGCCTCAAGCATGTATTTTCTATAGTCATAGTTGAAATTTTTAATAATAAGACATCATGTTCAAATAAAAACAGATATTTTGGGAATTTGTCTTTCTTTTCAACTCATTGATTTGAAGTAAAATAATCGGGGATCTTTGATTAATTGATGCTATTACATCTTTGATTGTATGCGTACAAGGGAAAAAATTATAATGAACCAAAGGTCCATTACTGGTTCAGGACAGCGATAAGAACAGTAAAATCATGAAGTAAAACCAAGAGGATATGGTAATAACTGATTAACTAACTCTGTTAAGAAGTATTTAAAGTTAAGAGTCGACTCTTTCACCCCTTTTTGTAAACCATCTTGTTTCGGAACTGTCATTTGATTAGTTGTTTTATTTAAAAAAAAAAAAAAAGAAAAAAAAGAGCACAGCGAAGTAATCAATTAGCATTTAGTAGCCAGAGCACATACCTTTAGTCGCAAGTTTTGTGGTTGAACTTCAAATGCATAACAGCAGGCTTCGGTCTTCGGAAATAGAAGAGGCTCAGTACGAAGAAGAAGAGGGTTTGCTATCTCGTCTGTCCAATAACAATACAATACAGAGTCTACAAAGAAGAATAAAAGGAATAAATATAATAAAAAATGAGAAGAAGAAGAAGAAGAAAACCAGAACGGTAAATGCTCGAGCCTAAGGTAATGGCGATCGGCAGCTTGAATTAATCTCGCGGGCCAGCGTCGAGTGACTTGCCCTATCTTCCCTTTTTTTAATTAATTAACGATACGAAACCCTGATCATCTTGAAACTTACCTAAAATATCCTTCAAATTTCAAAAACTACTTAAAATACCCTTGAATTCTCGGAAATATGACACTACTACCCTTCCTTTAGTTATTCATCACAATCCATTTTCAAGTCACGTGACATTTTAAGTTTTTTAAATACCATTTTGCCCTCACAACTGACTTTAGTCTTTAACCTTCAGCTCACATCAACCATCGCTGCGTTTGTTTGTTTCAGATCAAAGCAAACGATTGTACACTTTTGCTAAACATTAAATGCTCAAGTATCTATGATTGTCTTAGGCTGTGCTTAGTTGTAATGTAAATAAATTTGTACTAATGCAAAATTATGAGAGTGCAAATGATTTGAGTATAAATTCTGATCTATTTTTGCTTCAGGTTTTATTTTATTTTGTTTGATTGCAATACACATGAAGTAAAGTAAGACATAAAGCAGAATAAAGTAAAACCCAAAACAAGATTAAATTAGAATTTACATTTTTTTTCATTTGTACTTCCATGCATTTCTACTGGTGTAAATAAAATTACACTGCAACCAAACACACCCTAAAGGTAATTTTGCCTACACCTGCCAAATTGAACCGTTCTCATATTTACAACCAAAATGAATGGTTCTCTCTCTCTCCACCTAAAATGCATGCTAGCATCAAATATTAAGAAAAAAAAAACTAAGAGACCCTACTAATAAGATAAAACACACACACACTATTAAGATGAATATAAAAAACACACACACACTATTAGAATATGTGTTAGTCTTTGCCAAAAAAAATAAATAACTGCAAGGTAATTATATATATCATGCAGTCAAGTTAACTGATCAACTAAGAGACCCTACTAATAAGATGAATATATCATGTATCATATATGATAAAAAACACACACACACTATTCTGTCAAATGATAAATTGAGATGTCATTGTAAGATATGTTGAACCTAGATATATAAATTAACCACCGAATTGTTTAGTGGGTGATAAGTAAAAGTTTAAGGCAAACAATCCAAAAGTCTGATACTAGAAGTCACATGCGTATGTAAGCTATATACATGCTAATAACAACTATTAGCTTTGATGCAAACCAAAATTTCCCCGTGCCACCATCCCAATCAAAAAACCAACTTTGCCTACAATTATAGTAAACATGTTCAGCTTCTTCATGGGTGATATATGAACAATATAAGAATTGCCCCTAAACCTAGACCTAAACCCTAAACCTAGGGCCATGAATCATACACACCTGGCTTCCTTCCCTTGAGCCCTTGAGCCCTTGAGCACAAGATAAAACTTTTGCATCCAACAAACACATAATAGATAACAGAGCTATATATATCAAGATGAATTTAATCACTCAAACAAAGAAGCATAGTATGATTATCTAGGCCATAAATCAAATATTTGAAATAACAGCATGTTTAACTTAATAATGATCACATCCAAGTCATAAAGCTTAGTAATTCATCACAAGAAAAAATAAGCATAGTAAATGTAGGATTGTATGTTGCTTATAGCATCAACATCTAACCAGTAAGTGAATCACCCTCAACTTTGCTACAAAATAAGTTAGAGGATGAACGAAAAAAAAGAAGATTGAAGTCTTATCAGAGCTTAATTACAATGTCAACAGAGTCAGAGTTCCTATGACATCACATTATACCTAGTCATTTTAGAGATGATTGGTATAACCATCCATGCCTTGAATGGCTTTAACCTCCTCCTCATGTTTCACCAAATACCCAAGCATGCTTTTCAAAACTTGATTGTCAAAACCTTTCAAATATGTAACCTCCCACCATAAAAGATTAAGGAGGTCCAATACTCCAATTCAGTCTCAACCATGATGACAAATGCAATCCTTCTCATCATCTCATTCATTCTATCAATTGCATCAATGAAATCCCCGTGCGGTTTTGGTCTTGTTCTTTGTGCCATTTTCCTAGTGCTTGATGACGAGGCTGCCCTAAGGATGGTGTTGGAGATTGAATGGTTGCATCCTCATAAATGAATTCATTAATTGTCAACAGTGTTGTTGCATCATCATTAACCTCTGTTTATTGACGCCATCAACATCATCCTCCACATCAAGTGCAAACTCAATACTTGCCCAAGCCTTATCACCTATGTGTTGATCATTCTCAATAACTGCTCGCTTCTCATCAAACATTTCCATCACTCGACCTTTCATATTTATGGCGAGTGGATTGGCCTACATTGTAGAAATTTTCATGAACACCTACTAATTCTATCAATTATAATTTGCAAATAATCTTCTATTAATTGTACTCTTTTTTTTACCTTGATGTATTTATCCCAAACATCGGGATCGGTTTGAATTTGATTTCTAGCTTCATTCCAAGCATCCTACTTTTGATGCGGGGTGTTTTCATCTCAATACTAAATCTAGCAGTCATATCCTTGCATGTTAATGTGTATGCAGATGTCCAAAACCCCTTGTCAATCTTTTTTCCCAATGCAATTGGGTCAATAAGAAGTTGGAGCAATGATTTGTCCAATGCATCATTCCACCTAACTTGTCGACATCGATCAACCTTGCTTGACAAGTCTTACTGATAGATAATACATCTTTGCTAGAAACCATTGATCCACCTTCCTATCTTTGCTAGAAAACATCCCTGCTATCAATCATTTCATTCCATTTCATGTAAAATAATAATTTAGGCAAATAGCACATGAACAACATATAACATAATGTAAATCAACACATAAATGCTATTATAATAATGTGTAAACATAGCAATAACTCTATAACATATAATAAAATTTCAATAACCATTTCATGCAAATACCAACAACAAAAGATAAGATCAAAAGATACAACTAGGAAGCAAGGATAATCGTCAGTGCTAGAAGAGAAACCTAACTACATAAATGTAGGTGTTTTAGCATGTTTGGGGTTTGATGGTGGTGTCTGATCTAAGGGTCAAAAGTGTAAATGGGGGTTGAGTGGGGTTGTCGGATTGGTATCGAGCAAATTTAACAGTGGATCTGAGGCTTTTGGGTTGAAATTTGAATTCTTTGGGTTTTTAACGTTTTAGAGAGATTGGAATGGTCTGATCAAACGTCCGGGATAAATTGGAGGTTCAAGCAGCGGACCGAGCAAAAATTAAATACTGACAACAAGCTTCCTTTCCAAGAAGCCGTCCAACTTTACCTTGGTTTTGAAAAATCTTCATAGGGTGAGGCAATCCATTTGATCATACATTGTGTTTTGATGAAATTTGCACCACCTTGTCCCATGCCTATCTCTCTTTCTAGGTTGATGTGTGGCATGGGGTGGGGTGCCTTGATAACATTGTCTTCAATTAACTTGTTCACAATTAAGATTACCTCATTCCTACTACAACCAACAGGCAATAGTGTGGGTGGTGGTGTTCTGACTCTTCTCCGAAGGCTAAATCTACACCATATGTCTCTTCCATAAGTGTTTTGCCTCTTGTCCACCACATAATTTTCATGGTGTTGCTGGAACTATTGCATTGTACATGTTTGGTGCACTACAAGATGAGTGTTCATAGTGCTTGTTGTCCTTTCTACACATTTTAATCATTGCAAAAAACTTAGCAACTCGTGGTTCTCGATGCCAATCTTGTAAAATAGTCTCTGATTTCTTATAAAATTAATTTTACTAGTATTAGAGTAAGTTAATAAAGCTAAGTTATTTAATCTATTCTAATTAATAAGTTAATTGTGTAAAGTAAGTTGTTGATTTTTAATTATTTATATTTATATTTTTCCTTTTTTTAATATTTTCTAAATAAATATTACTTTTAATATATTAAAAATTTTCTGTTCATTTTAGTGAATTTTTGTTCTTATTTTATTAGTTAATTAAAAAATTAAGTTTCTAATTTTTCTAATTTTATGATTTTTTAGAAAATTCCCCTTACTTCATTGGTTTTTCCTATTAATTAACAAAATTATTTATAAATTTTCTATTATCTTCCCTTACTTTTCTAATCTTTTATATTTTCTAATTAATAAAATTATTTTATTAAAAATTCTCATATTTAGTCTTTTTTATTTTCAAAATTACATAACCAATTGAACTAAATCAGTCCAACACACAATGAACTGGTAACTAAAGCTAATGGGTTAGATGGTTTTTAGTTATTCGAATAACCAAACCCATGAACTTTGTCTTCGTGATGCGTAGTGAGTTCGAGCCCTTGGTTCATTTATTCTTTTGCTTTATTTTTCTCTAGGGAAATTACAAGCAAAGTTGGGAAAACATCCTAATCCATTTTATCTACCACTTTGTTCTTCTAAAACTCTTGTTCGTTGTAATGAAGTTATAAGACAAAGGAGATAATTCATGTTCATAGAAAGTATTTTTAGAAAATTAGTAGTTAAATTTTCACATAATTTATAGAAAATTGGTAAATTTTTTAATAGACTTTTTAGAAATACAACATAAATTATTTTACTCAAAAAATAATTAATAGTGAAATTAATATTGTTGCTAATAAATTTTGAAGACATGTTTTCTAAAAATTATATAACAAATTTGGCACACCAAACTAGGTCAATCATCAAGATGACAATTTTCCTCATTGAACTGAGTTCTTGTGCTTGTCCCGAATGGGGTGGATTTTCCCTAGGAATAAGAATGGTTGGGATAGGGAACCCCATCCCGCCCTTACCTCATAGCCAAAATCCCCTACCCAATCCTCACCACCATCTCGATCTATCCCGAGTGGTAGGGTGGGTTGGGGGCACAACACCCCATCCGAATTAGGGACAAGGAATCCCCCAATTTTCTGTATCCTAAGGCAATCACTTAAAAATAAATCAAAACTTGGGAATATTTTAGAAATGAAATTATAGAAATTTGATGGTACTTTAGAAATGAGATTATTAGATCCTAAGGTTTTGGAAATTTGGGGGAATTCAAGGGTAACTTAAAAATTAATATTAAACTTAGGGATATTTTAATAATT